AAAATAATGTAGTGATTTTAGAAAGCTTAGAAAATTAGAATATAAAGTTAAATTGCCCATAAGCTCAACACCCACAGAGAGGCACAGCCATGTTTTTGAAAATAAAAACACCAATATACAGTGATACCTCAGCTGTCGAACAGCTTAAAACTTGAACTTTATACTACTCAAACAGTAAAGTTCAGAAAAAATCTACTCAGGGTTTGTAACTTTGCTTGATAGTCAGACCAAAAATCTAACTTGAAAAAAACCCTGTATGGGCCAAGAGTCATTCTCGCCATGGACGCAGAGATGTGACGCGTCAGTCTGAAGCCCACTTTCACCCAGACAACATATAGTGGTTGTGTATGTTAAAGCTTTCGTCACTATGCTTTTTTTTTTTTTTTGCACTTTGTGTAAAATATTGTAACCATGGCTCCAAAGAAAGTTAGTGATGCCAGCAGTAAAGCTAAGAGGAAAACTGAGAACCACAATAGAGTTAAAAGAAATCGTTGCAAAATTTGTTCAAGTCTGGAAAAATGAATTTGTAAATGTAATTTTTGGGCCTCAGAACCAATTGTTTGGTTTTCCATTATTTCTTATGAGAAAAATACATTCAGTTATCAAACTTTTTGGTGTTCGAACATGTATTTGGAATGAATTGAGCTTGACAACCAAGGTATCACTCTAAGTTATCATTGCAAATTTTACAAAGACACAGAGGCTAGAATGTTGGAAGAGGCCATGAAAGCGTGGGTCCATAAGCTTAAACTTTCTTCACTTTAGACTCAGAAATAATTATTTTTGTGGCCTTTTAACTCCAGTCTACTTGGGTGTGAACATCAGGAACATAACTTATTAACCAAGGAACTGAAAACTTGCAAACTTTACTGTACCTTAGTTTTCTAGCTGCAAATTGGGTATTATACAGCATCATATGCTGACCAAGGAGAATGTGTAACACACTTAGAATATAATTAGCACTCTGCCATTGTAGTCCTACCTTTACATTGTACAAAAATCTCACTAGTTTCCCAAGTGAACACTTTTCTCTGTTCATGTTTAAGTCACTCCAGTTACTACAGTGAGTAGGTGTATAACCTCAAGACTCAGTTAGATACTTTGGTTATTAGTTTATAAAAGGGAGGTGCTTAGCATCAGATGACTTTGCCTGTTGAACTCTAGAAGGTCATCTTTATCCCCAAAGACTAGTACATTCTAGGGAATAATGAATTAAAGGAAAAGCTGTTTGCACGTAGATGTTTCACAAATCCCTGGAGAAATAATTTTCTGAGCCACACAATCCCAGGAGCCCCGCCCTTCACATGGAATCCAAAGTGGACAGTATTATGTCACTCTGGATGGAAACTTCTAGAGGCCAAGCCCTTCTGACAGCTTTGGTATGTCTATTTTAACATAAAGAGGAGATGATGTAGGATAAGTCCTTTGCCCAAAGATACTGAGGCAGAAACAGAGATCACAAAAAATTTTGATAAACCCTAAGGCCTATTATTTGACTCCCAACCCAGAACAGCTGCTGTTAGGTAGTCAGTCCATAGTCTAAGTTCTGATTTCCTTAGTGATTAATGATAAGAACTAGGGAGTATAACCCAACCACTGTGTTTCTTCAGAAAAACTGAAATTTCTCTGCACCTCTAGGGTTACAATCACCCACACTTTCCCTACTGAGCCTTCCATGGTGTGGCATGCAAAGGTATATGAGTTTGAGATCATTTGAATGGACATGCTTTTCATAAAGTATGAAGTCTTACATTTAATCATATAATTTGAACTTCTGAGCCCAGAAGAAATCTTTTTGCCCAGCACCTAGAAGCAGGAAGCCTTCTCTTTTCCTAAGTCAGTCAACCTTTAAGTGACTGTGTAGAAACAATGCCTTCAAATTTAGAATTTAAAATTCATCCCTCTAGCATCGACTCTAAGAATTTAGTATTACATGAATCACTGTGTAGTTTTTATATTAATAGGATAATGGATGTGAGCATTTTCTTCTCAGGAATCCAGATATCTTTTGCTTAACAGTTGTAACCAGAAGTAAAGAAAATGTGCTGTAAATACATAGCAAAGTATTACTCAGCCTTAAAAAAGAATAATATCCTGTCATCTGCAACAACATGGATGGAACTGGAGATCATTATGTTATGTGAAATAAACCAGGAACACATTGGCTGCAACAAGGACTCCGGCACTCACACCTCATTGCCTGTGTCTCAGATAACAGGCATGAGTCACAGTACGTAATATTAGCCCTGCTGGGTGTCACTTTTGCTTTGGTGTGATCCTTCTCTATCCCCCTATTCCTCCCTTTGGGGATGGGAATATTTACCCAGTATCGCCTCATATGGGGAATATATAACAAGCTCTTTGAATTTTTTATGGCTAAAAGTTTGCCTTGAGTCTCAAAGAAGACTATGGACTTTGGAGCAATGCTGAAACTTGCAGCAACAAGATTAGTATATTTTTGGTTGTATGAGGGATAGTTGAATCATGGTAGGCAGAATAGTGACCTTGTGTTTATTTGGGGATTAAGAATGATTGAAGGGGACATGTTTGAGTGTCAAGTGGACAAGAGGTGGAAAGTGACAGTGTAAGAGGATTGTCAACTTGATCAGCTCAAGAGCCACCTAGGAGATCAGTAAGTGTGTCTGGGTGAGTTGTGGAGGTGAGACCATGCATATGCTGTCTAGTCCTTTGGTCTCTTCCTCACTGGTGCTATTCCCCTGCTGTCTAGCTGCAACTAAGAGGTGAGCAGCTTTGCTCTACCACCCTCTTCTGCCACGGTGTTCCTGCCTTGGAGCCAGCCAGCTGTGAACTAAAACCTCTGAAACCATGAGCAAAAATAAACCCTTTCTCCTTTGAGTTGTGTGTGTGTGTGGTATTTGGTCCCAGTACAGGAAAGCTGACCAATACACACATTAAAGGGATATAAAAGAAAGCAAAGAAAGAATGAGTGGCGTTGATAGCCAATTCTAAAAAGCTCTGATAATGATAATTTATTATTCTTTAAAAACTATATCACTCTTTTGCAAGAGATTAACAGCATAGAAATGATAAACATTTTTTAAATATTTTAGTAAAATTTTTGTGGGATATAAACCCATAGCTGAATATGTACTTTTTTTTTCTGATTAAAATAGTTCATATGCAAATATCTTTCAGAGTGAATGAAGTCAAACCTTACATTTCACTGTTTTGAAATTTCTTCAAAATATTTACTTCTATGTATCTTTTATCTGAGTTGTTTGGGGTTTTTTTGTTGTTTTTGTTTTTGAGACAGGGTCTTGCTATGTAGTCCAGGCCGGCCTCAAATTCATGGTGATCCTCCTCCCTCAGCCTCCCAAGTGCTAGAATTACAAGCATAGGCCACCATGCCCAGCACTACATTATCTTTTTATTTGAAGAAATTATGTGAAAATGAAAATCGTTTTTCTGTAAAAATAAAATAATGCTTAAATAATTATATATACATAAATATCAATATATATAAAACAAACCAGGCACAGAAAGACAAGCATTGTATGTTCTTGCACATATTGCAGAAACTAGAAAAAAAATTGATTTCATAGACATCAAGAGCAGAATAATGGTACCTAGAGGCTAGGAGGAAAGGGAAGATGGAACAAAGAAAGGTTGAATAATGAGTATTCAAACACAATTGGAAGAAATATGATCTAGTGTTCTACAGCACCATTAAGTAACTGCAGTTTACAATATCATACTAATTACTGTATAATACAATTATTATATTTCATAAAGAACTAGAAAAGAATTCAAAGATTCTCAACACAAAGAAATAATAGAGATGGAAATGCTAACTGTGCTGAGTTGGTTATTACACACTGAATACATGTGTCAAATTATCACTGTTCCCATAAATATGCTCTTTATGTTAGTAAAAATTTTAAAGTATTATTACCATAGAATTATCAGATCTAAAAACCGGGGCAGCTGAGACCCATGGATTATATATGGATTCCTGGCACCAGACAGGATAGAGCTCTTCTGTGAGAACAGAAAAGGGACATGGGATTTTTTTCTCTGCTGTCCTGAATGCATGTAACTAAAAAAGAACTGTTACATTCAAGCATCAATTGTTAAGAACAAATGTCCTCATAATCTTTAATGGCAGCTTGTAAGTTACATATTAAAGTACCCTATTGGTTATAAAGTTTAATAAGAATGCTAAAGATATTGAATTTCTAGAAAGGTGTTCCCGAGAAACCAAAAACCAACCCTGTGCTAATGGGAGTGCATCAAAGAAACACAGGAGCAGACTGAAATAGTTCCCAATGACCAAAGCTGAAAGAATTTGGGCCCCCAAAAAGTATTTGATTGTCTATACTGATAAAAATGACTGAAAAGGAAACAACTCTCCCTTGCAAAAGAATTCCAAATAAATGACATGCTCTTGCCCAGGAGGTACAGCCCAAGTGCCCACCCCTTCAATCTGAGCTCTGCATGACTTCCTTCCAACCAGGAGACAAATATTAGACAAACCCCAATCAAGGGGCATCTTACAATCTAAGTCAAAAATGAGTAAAGATGGAGAAACTGACATAGCCAGAAAGAGCCTAATGCTAGAGGATACTATATGTAAGGGGGTATCCTGGATAGGATCCTGGGACTGAAAAAGGACAATTATGGAAATACAAATAAGCTAGGGATTGTAGTTAATATCAGTGTCGGCTCATTAATTATAATATACTAACAAAATATTAATAAGGAAAACTGGGTGATGGGTTTACAGCAATTTTAGAATAGTACCTTCAATTTTTTTATAAACCTAAAATTATTAATATTTAGAACTTTTAAAAATTAGTTTCTATAGGTATGCATAAAAATATAAATGCACAGAACAAAGTGTGGAGATCCAATAGCCAGTAATTTTATGATAATTCTCTTGTATTTCATGAGTTGCTTATATGGATGATATATACTCATATACTACTGTCAAGCTAATTTATTTTGGGAGAAGATAAAAGAGAAAAAGAACCAGTTTAGGCTTGTCGTTTATCAGCAGAAAAGTTTTATTTCTTTTAAAGACAAACATCCAAGGGCTTAACTTACAGACACAAACCAAAGTAGCCATGAAAGCGTTAGATACTGAGATATAAGACACATATATGGTGGGAAAAATGCTTCTGGTCCAAAGCTCACACCAGCTCGGCTTGCAGCAGCTGAGCTCTGCTAGTGCTTGGGTGTGGTAGAGGGAAGAGTGTGTGTGTCTGCAGATCCAAAGGAGACAGCTATGTCTACACACATGGAAGCATTGTGGACTGCTTGGGCAGGTGTGGGGAGAAGAGCCAGCCCCTTCCTCGGAGCCTAGGTTGCCTTGCAGAGTGCCACAGCAGAGAAGCGGACTTCTCCTTGTTCGCGCTCGGTGAACTCTCTGCAGACCTTGGCGGCGTCCTAGAAAGGAGGGACACCATTAACACCCAAAGAAAAACAGCTCAAAGTGGGAGTTTCAAAGGGAAAGCACTTCTATGGCCTATGCATGCTCAGAGTTTTCCCTGATCAACTTTAAATCCCTCATGAACCTTGAAATCCAGGAGGCTCAAGGCAAGAGACAAAAATCCGGCCACTGGGAAAGAACTTATCTGCCACAGATAAGCTCTGACTATCACTTCGGCCAAGTGGCTCGGGGCTTCTCTTGCCTTGTACCTGGCTTAGCAAGAAAATGAAACTACTGATACTCTTTACCTTAGGTGTAAACAAGACACAAAACTGATCTCTCTTCCACAGGAGCATAAGAGAAAAGTTCTCCTAACTCAGAAACTCCTCGAGCAGAGACAAATTTCTTTCAAGTATATTTTTATAAAATAGCCTTCAAGTTTACCCAGTATATTCCAGGCACAGGTAAGAGACGGATTCTTAAGAGAGTTATGGAGTGGCACATGTAACTACTTCTAGGACCGGGATTAGAAGAACTGGTGACAGAAAACTGATCTCAATGTATTTACTAAATGTAGGCGTCAATGCTTTGGAATCATTGACATCAATCACTGTGCTTAATTTGTAAAAAGTCCAGTGGGAAGTTTACACCACGAGCTGTATTAAATCTAAGAACTTTCAAGACGAAAGAGAATACTGTGTGGTATAGAATAGTTAAGGGAATTTCAGTTCCTAAATCATTGATTCAGTAGTGAGTTTACCCCTTATATAAAGCACCAACTATCTTGGAGTTTTAGTTCTGCTTTGGACCTACATTTAAAAGCTGAAAGAGATTCAGATTGACATCTATATTCTAGAGTTTTAAATATATTAATATTCCAGACGCCCTCTTCCCCAGACTGACTTTTCTATGGCATGCACAGTCTTGATGGCAATATTACAGCGCACCTTTAGAGAAAAAGCCGCCTCCTACACAGACAACGCTGCCCTCTCTGCAGACAATGGGCAGTGACCTAATTCTTTCAAGTTTAGGGTACTTGGGGGTTAAGTTTATGTATTTTCTCACCAATTTAACAATAATTCAGTATGCAGTTTAGACAATTTAAAATGTCTTTAGCCCCTGTGCTCGCTTCAGCAGCACATATACTAAAATGTCTTTAGCCCCATATAAACCCAGTTTTACTTAGTATAAGAAGTTTTGTTAAAATGATGGTTTAGAAAGGGCCGGGGATTTAGCTCAGTGGTTTTGCCACCTGCTGCGCAAGCGCAAGGACCCAAGTTCAATCCCCAGTACCAAAAAAAAATAATGATGGTTTAGATTTAATTTTAAATGGGATTCCAATTAGAGAAATTAGTTTTTATTTCTCTCTCCAAACAAGGTTTACCTTTCCCACACATCATGTGAATTTGGTATTCTATGTGGGCACATTTTTATGGTACTAGTACAGGGTTAGATAGGAGCTAACATGTACCTTAAAGCTTACTTAAAAAGACCAGTCTTTAACCATAACTGGGTCAACAATCAGAAGTTCTGCCTCTGTTCTCACTCTCTCCTGTAAGTAAAATCTGCCCCTCATATAAATCCCACCATCAGCTTCTTGGGGTCCACTTCTCATGTCACATTACTATTCCCATGTTCCTCTCATATACCCAGAACTGGCTTTAATTGGTCTCATACATACAACTAGAGGAAATAACTGTCTTTGCAAAGGGGCATAATTTGGTCCACTACAGCCTGAGGATAACAAGTCTGTGATGTTCCAAAGACAGATCCATTATAAAGCAAGGTCACACTGTATAATGGCTAAGAGCACAAACTCTAGCCTCAGTCAGAACCATGGTTCTGCCATTTATTTAGTTTTTGTTATCTGGGGGCTTGTTTGTTTTTTGAGACAGGGTCTTGCTATATAGCCCAGGCTGGCCTTGAACTTGCATTCATCCTGACTCAGTTTCCCAGGTGCTAGGATTACAGGGATGGGCCACCACAGCTGCTGGTTCTGCCATTTAATTCACTAACTTTGGACATTACTTAATCTCTCTGCCCCTGTTTTCTCATCTGTAAGATGAGGACAGTAAGTCTACTGCACTACATGATTAAAGGGATCCAACAAAAGACAGAATTCACTTGGGACAGCATCTAGCCCAGGACTCAGCAAATTGCAGCCTGTGATCCAGCTTGCAGCCAGTTTTGCTAACACAGCCACTGTGGAACACAGCTACACGAATTCTCGTAGACACTGCCAACAGGCTGCTCGGGAGCAGTCCCAGCAGAATTGAATAACTGCAACAACGCCGCGGGCCACACAAAGCCTGAAATATTTTCTATCTGGCTCCTGACAGGAGAACTTTATGCACCCTCAATGTGCACATTCCAGGCATTCAAAGAAGATTAGCTGTGATTACTACAGACTAGTTTTATCATAATAGTACAGAATTCTGTATTTTACCATAAACAATTTCCCTTTACAACAGCAAATCGATTCTGTCCTAGAGACTCATTTTTAGACTGAAAAGGGCTAGAACAGAATTCCACCTCTTGTCAGGGATCAAGGGGTTTCTGCAGTTACCGGCACCAGGATAGTCACACAGTGATCCTGAATCTTAAAGCTCTTGTCAGAGATGTTTCTCTAACACTGGACAATCTGGGGAGAAAGAAACTAAATTCACCTAACACTCAAATCTGTAGTATACTACCTACAAGACTGACCGAATCCAACAGTCGTAGAAGATTAAGGCAGGCTCGGGGTGCTGTTACCAGAGTCTTACATGATGATGTAATGTGACAGGAGGACAATGGATGCCTTAATCCCCCAAGGAAGCAAACAATGGCTTTGAGGCTAATTCTGACTATGGACTAAAGACAACACACTAAACAGATTAGTCAGGGCTTCTTTGAAGGATCCTGTTTAAAACCACTAGCTATAAAACGAGGTAGGCAGAATTACTAAAATATCTTTAAGCTGTAAGGGATTGCTATCAACCCAGACAATGGAGGCTGACAATACTTAACAGTGTCAGCATTTCAGACAATGTGGGCTCAAGAGGCCAGGGGTGGCTTTGAAGGAAGCATTCCCAAGATTACCTGCAGCAGAGAGTCCTCTGAACTGGTGCCATGGTTCACTGGAAAAGGCATTCGTCCATCTGGAACAAAGAAGCCAGGTATGTCAACTTCCCCTGCCCATTTTTTGGCTATGGCATCTGCCCATCCCAGAGGGAGACTTTAGATTCTTCTGAATGCCACTCCCACAAAGAGAAGTCTGGTTAGGAGGCAGCAGGCCACAGTGAGGTTCAAGTGCTCCTAAATATCAAATCTACAACTGAGGAGATCACAAAATCCCAGTCCACTACACTGTTTAGAGAAGACTGTGCTCCCATCTTTTGGGAAGAATCACAGAGTAAAAGTCAGATGCAATTTCTGGGGTACCAGAAAGGGAGAGGAAAGAAGGGCTCTTTGATTCCTGACTGCCAAGTCTCCTCTGCCCTAGTGAGTCCACAGGCAGTGGTGAGACAACACAGTTCCAAGTCTTTCTCCATTATGGATATTCTTTCTCATTGCCATAAGCCAGCAAATAAAAATCACTCCAAATTCTTTTTACACAAACAAGGTCATATTCAGGCACTGATCCTTTCGTTCTAAAAGCATTCCTTGTCTGAAAAGGATGACACCAGGGGATGGTGAAAGGGAAGAGGGAAGAGAAAAGTCTGAGCATTGATCCTTGACTTGGTGCTGATCTGATGGGTCCTCCTCACTGGGTTGGGACTAAAGACATTCATTTGGTATTGTCAACTGCCTGAGGGGGGCACTCTGGGTATGACGAAGGGTTCAGTGTCCCCTGAGCGTGCCCTGTTTTGCCTTCTTAAACAATGATGTACCAAGTGCCATAGTCATGCATCAATCCCATAAGAGAAACTAAGTCTGAAAGAATGCATGCAACTGTACTGGATTCCAAAAATGAAGCAATACGTACCCAGTTCATAGAGGTGGCCATCCACGTTGTTAAACAGAATAAAATGAAAATTCACTTTGTCATCTACCTGAAGAGTCAATTTAAAAAAAAACAACAAAAAAACGAATATTAGAGAAGATGGTCTTGTTAAAAATAAATTCACAATTCAAGTGGAATGCCTATTTTTAAAAAATTATTATAGCTGATATTTCCTACATACAAAGCTGGAATCTATGCCCATTAGGGTAGAAATTCTGGAACTGTCAGCTCTGAGTGTGTGACTATTAAGTGCTTTTTACTGAGGAGGAAATGCAGCCTTAGGGAGGCTAAGCATCTCACTCACAGCCAGGTCTAGGATGTGGCAAGGCCAACTGTGGTTAAAAGGCACCGGCCTCTGGCTTGAGTTTAGCAGACGACATGGAGGCTCTATTCACATTTAGGGTATATTTAAACCTGCCAGAACTGGCCGGTCTGGCTAGTACATCTTACTCTCCCAACAGCCCTTGACAAGAGCTCAATGACCAGGAGAGAAGTTACCTACCATCACAGCTCATTTTGGTCTAAGGATAATACTACTGATTTGAATTACACAAAACTATTTCAACTGCCAATTTGATTTCTGAAGAGTCCTTTTGGGGAACAGATCTCGTCAAAGCACTGAGTAGATTCTGCCATTCAGTGGCTCAAGTGGATAACATTTGCCATTCACTATGTTCCAATAAAGGCTCCTTGCAAATGTCCTACCAAGAGCATGGGTGGCACCTAAGCCACCAGGCTAGGACTTGGGTGTGCCCTTACCCGACACTGGCCTTCCTGGGCCACGGCATCGTGGGCTGCCTGGATGGCCTACAGAAGAGAGAAAGGAATTAGCCAAAACTCTATGAAATCAGCTCAAAGTGCTGCTCGCCAAGTTCTCTACCTCATTCTTTTCAAAGCACTTTGCTCTGTCTTCAGGGGACATCTTCTCTGTTTCAGAAAGAAACTGTTTCAGGACCGATCCATCCTCTTTAAAAAGAAAATGCACATATTAGCATAGGAACAATGCAGATGGGCACATATTTGCTGTCACCTTAAGGCTTTGCACAGCTGGTCATGCTGAAGAATCTGCATCTTTCATATGGCCTCCAGGGAAGCGGATGAGCAATCCCTTTTCCTCTAGCCTTTTCCCAACCACTCTGTGCTACTGCATGCCAGCTAGACAGGCTCTCCATTATCCACGATGCCTCACTCCTTCTTACCTCAGACCCTCCTACCTCGGCCCCTTCCCCTCCCACCTCCATGGCTCTTAAATTCCTCGTCACTTTCTAACAGTGCTCACCCCTTTGGAACATGTATTTGTTGAGATTTTAGTGCCATAAAGGCAGGGGCTGCCTTGTCTACTGCTGTGTCCATAGCACTTAATGCATCTATTCCATCCATGATGCTATCGATGGTAACATTCTAATTACTGTTCTCCAACCAAGATTATTTCAGAGTAGAAAACTCAACCTTAGCAATTCAGTTATCCAGACAGACATTAATGTAAAGATCTTAGGTAGAAATGTGAAGACCCACACGGTCAGGCTTAGAGACAACTGACTGGCAGACTGTAGGTATAAACAGTACATTATTCCTCAGTGTGGAAAAGTCTAAAAGACATCACACAGCTACAGCAACAACAATTATTTCAAAAGACCTCAGTCTGAACTTTCAGCTCTAAATTTAACAAAATGGTTAAGTGGGGACCACTTCAAAATCTGGAGGGGCTGAGGATGTAGCTCAGTGGTGACATCCTAGGTTCAGTACCCATCACATGAAAACAAAAATCTGGAAGGGATAGGACTCTGAGTCAAATTGAGTCTGACATCAGCATTACCATGGTCACAAAATTACAGTATCATCTGATCTCAGAAACACTGGACTTTAGATAAAGTGAGACTTTACAGAGGAAATGGAAAGGATCAGGCTACAACTTTTTAATATAATTCAACCAAGTCAATATGTGAAAAAGCAAATTCCAGAAGGTCAGGACATTAATGGCCAGACAAGTTATCTTCATTTCAAAAGTACACATGGAGTCTTGGCTGTACTTCCCTTATTCAAAATAAATAAGTGTAAAATGTATATATATTTTGCAGTGCTGGAGATGTATCCATGCTAGGGAAGCACTCTACCATGAAGCTAAATCCCCCACTCCAACACCATCCCCATTTTGTTAAACAGGGTCTACGAATGTTTCCCATGCTGACACTGACCTCCCAGACTCAAGTGCTGCTCCTGCCTCAGCCTCCTGAGTATCTGGGACTACACAAATGAGCCACCATGCCCAGCTCTATCTTTGACCCCGCTACAGGTAATAGTGTGAATCCTTATTTGAAGTTATTCAACTCTCAGCCTCCCCCAGCCACTGGCTACATCGGGAGTTAGAAATCTACTGCCACCTATACTTACAGTGTTACTGGAACGCAGCCACCTTCATTAGTTTATAACTTATCCATGGCTGTTTTGAGCTTCAAAGATAAAGATTATGTGGCCCTCCAAGACTAAAAGATTTATTCTCTGGCCTTTTAAGAAAGTTTGCTGACTGTTGGCCTAAATGACACATAAAGGCCATGTTACTTTAACATATTTATTCCTGTTCATTATGCCTCTGCCAATTTTAAGGGCTCAAACTTGTCTCTCCTCCCTAGAGCATTCACTACGGGAGCACCAAAGCCCTTGACCAGACCTTGTTCAGCTGCATTGTAAAGCTTCAGCCTGCTGCTCTGCCTCCCCACAGGAACTTCCCACTATCTGTCCTAAGCAGATCTGTTCCTCCCCTGGGCTATAAGACACAGAGCCACTGAAGACAGGTGCTAGCTGGGCATGGTGACGCATGCTTGTAATCCCAACTACCCAGAAAGCCGAGGCAGGAAGGTCGAAAGTTTGAGGCCAGCCTAGAAATTTAGCAAAACCTTGTCTCAAAAATAAAAGGGGAGAGGGGCTTTGCTAGAGATGCAGCTTAGTAGTAGAGAGCCCCAGGGTTTTATTCCCAGGATTTGATGCCAAAAAAGAAAAGGTAAGTCTCAAATATTTTCTGGCTTAATGACACCTCCAATTTTCCAGAACTGATGAGAACTGAATAGAAGCCTGTGAGAATCACTGCACAAATTGGCCCCCAAGTGTTCTTTTCTCCTTTCCCTCAGCTCCGAGAAGCTGAGGGAACAGAAGGGCAGGTATGGAGAGGCAGCTCAGTATTTGGCCCTCTACTCTGGCTGGAAACACCTCAACCATACTTCTTGGAAATAAGTTTTCTCCCCTCAAAAGAAAGAAAACAGTAAGAATTCACTCATAGTTTGTATCTGGATAAGCAGTAGCATGACTGAGCAGGTTTCAAATTTTTGGTTTTATTTTGTTTGTTTATTTTTGGTACCAGGGATCGAACTCAGGTCCTTGCGCTTGTGAGGCAGGTGACGGAACCACTGAGCTAAATCCCTGGCCCTGTTTTGTTTTGAAGCAAGGCCTCATTATATAGCTCAGGCTGGCCTCAATTTCGTAACCATCCTGCCTCAGCCTCCCCAGTGCTGGGATTACAAGCGTGTGCCACCCTACCCAACTCAAAAAAAAAAAAAATAATAAGGCAATGACTTTGCTGAACAGACCTAAGTTTCTGAGAAGTGTTAGTTCACTGTGCTTTCTGAACTCCATGCTTTAAGTTTCCATAGAGGGGAACCAACCTCAAAAGCCACACATACCAAATTCCAGTTTGTCTCGGTTATTGGCCACTGCGTGGATCAGTCCGATGGTACCACAGGAGTTTCCAATGGTCTGCTTCATGAAATACACTTTGGGACTCACTTCTTGTCCTTTCAGTTCTTCAATCTGTTTTTTCCTGAAGTTCTCATGCTGTAAATGTAAAAAAAGAAATCTGACATCTTCAAATGAGAATGCAGAGGTCAGATGGCAGCACAGCGAGTCCCACCGCCTAACTGGAAACCCACATGGATGTGTGACTGACTGCAGCCTTGGATCAGTCGAGACACTGGCCATCACCCAGACAGCGGCCTGTCTGCCTACCACCCACGATGGCCAGAAGGGCTCTGACAGTCCCTACTCCACCCTGATGCTGCAGTGCAGTCCCTGCCTTGGATACTGCCCAAGGTTGTGTCTAGACACCACTGCAACCTTCTGGTGGGACGGACAGCACCATGAAGTCAGAAAAGAGATCCATTCTTTATCTTCTTCCTTGAACACTACTGACTATATTTCAGACATTCTAACCAGGCTTTGATCAATTTAATGCCCAATAATATCACCAGCTATATTTCACTATTCTTTAATGCTCTATTCTGTCCAAGTAGACATCTCTTCAAATATGAAAACAAAACAAGCTTGAACTGCTAAAAGGGCCAAGTGAAAGAAATAAAACTATTTCCTCTCCCCCCGTTTTTAGGAAGACAATTGGCCTGGGTGTTGGGAGATTTTTACAAAAACTTCTCACCCTACAAGAAGATGTGATATTAGTTCGACCTTCCCAGATACAGTTTAATCTGAGGACATATCAGACATCTGGGGAGAGGATCCTCTGCTAGTTTCTTGTCCAATGATTCTGTGAGCCTGACTTTCACTAATGAGCTTAAAGACCTGGGAAGTTATGGCTTTGGTTAAAAGCAGATGCTAATGCTACAGAAATGCCAACTTCCTATAACAAAATTCAGACAGAACATCCAAAGCTTATTTCCAATTCTACTAGCCTTGCGTTACTTCACATAGAAATGAAGTCTGAGCTTGCTCTGTGGCACTAGCAGAAGAATAAGATCTCTTGTCCCAAGGATCAACTTAAGCAGGAAGTTCTTGTTTCCTGTCTAATAGATCCTTGAATTGTTACTGACTGTTGAGTTTTCACTTTTCTAGATAAAATTTCACAATTCTTTCCTTTAGGATTGTTTGAGCTCTTAGAGACATTTCTGTAAATATTTTGTCAATGCTTAAAATTAATGGTTTCAGAAGAGATTCATTTAGGATTTCATATGTCCTCAGTCAAAATTAGATGCTTTCTAAAGCAGCATTTCCTTGTTCATAAAGTCAATCTATCCACTTTCTTTAAATTTGCTTCAGCGTTTTGCCATGTAGGCATTCTGTCTAGCAGAATAAGTGCTCAATAAATTGGACAGGTTGAACTGAAGCCAAAGACAAAACATAAGCCATTCACACTAGAATGTTCTCTGAAAAGATTCATGTGAGCCAGCAAAAGGAGATCAGTGAGCTTTTAGAAGCAAACTTGCTACACCACTGCCTCCCAAAGGCAGAGCTGCTCAAAACCTCCAAGTCGTCATGGTTCCCCTAATGAAAAAGGTTGCCAAGGTGCTAAGAGGGAAGCCAGGAGACTGTCTGGTGTTATGGACACTAATTGACTTGCAGTGATTTGCAACTTCAAGTAAAGGCTTTGGAAATGAACACATCAGTGGAATTTCTAAATAGCTCTTAAGTTTTTAACCTACAATATCTAACCCATCTAGTAGGAGGAAGGCCTGTAACTTCCCATTCAGCTTGGTTTAGGCTGAGGATGCTTCTAGAACACCTAGAGTAGGATGCTGCTCAGTTAACCTCACTGTGTTTGCCAGGATACTCCAAATGCTAATGGCCCAAGTTTTGCTAAAGCCAGTTCCAACCACTTCCAAGTCACAGCAGTGGAAGACAGACAATGCCATGCTAACAGGACTCCACACACAGCAAGGCAACAGATACCCCAGCCACGTGGTTTATATCTGATGCTCAGTCTTGAGTTACACGTGTCTTTGTCCAGTTAGTTGTCAGAGTAAGAACACCTGAAGAAAATGAGAAGGCATCTCCAAGACTGAGCTAATAACAAGCTATTTCATTTACGGACATGATCAGAGAGGCAAGAAGATAGTGATAGGAGCATCTTGCATGAAACCAGCACAAATGATTCAGCTTTAAAGGGCATATTCAGTACTGTGCATGTTGTGGGGGACAGAAGGGTGGGGAGAATCCTTTAAGTCCACCAGGACCCCAGGCAGTGGGGGTGAATTAAAGATCCTTTCAGGTCCTCATGACTTAGGCACAAGAACAGTTGTTTTCTAGGTAGGTGAACATTTCAGACCCAGACAATGAGCTGACAGTTTATAGATCTAAAGAAAAAACCACCAGCCACTCCTCAAAGCAGAAAGCTCCAGAAAGCTTCAAGTCAAGGGAACTCACAAGTAGGGTGGATCATTTCCTTGACTGATTGGAATGATAGAATTAAGGTAACTGGGCTCTTCAATTCTAAATTAAAGGCAACTGTGGACGGATAGGCGAAGAGGAGCCCAATGGGCAGGTAACCACTAAAGTGAAGGCAGGTTCCTCCCTGTTAGGTGCGGCCCTCACTCCCCCTTAGGAGGGGGGACCAGGCCAGGCGGAGAGGAAGTTTGGAAGCACTGTGCATGCTCAGAGACCCCTTCATCCAACCCCCACTCCCTACCTGGGCGGTGAGGGGAAACAGCAGCAGCAGCGCGCAGGCCGGCGCTGGCACCGAGCCCAGAGCCTCGTCCTCCAGCCCTAGCACGTCGGCGAAGCGCCACTGGCCGGCCACCCCTAGCCGCGACAGCACCTGCGGAGAAGAGACAAGGCCGCCAGACACAAGCGGACAGGCAGTCACCAAGTCACCGGGACCTGCCAGGGGGCGGGCCCTGCACTCCCGCCCTCCACACCCCCACCCGAGCCCCCCAGGCGTCCCGCCCCACCCCCACCCCCACGGCCGGCGCGATGACACAGCACAAAGCGCGGCCCACACGTGCACCCGCGAAGCCCGTTCCCGTTCAGCCCGGCGCGCGCCACGCCCTCGGGTATCTTCCCGGCGCTTCCTCCTCCATCGCCCCCTGACAAGGGGCGAGTTAGGCCCCAGAGGCTGGGGCAGAGACAGCGCCTCCCAGCTCGGCCACCTCTGGAGCGCACAGGACGCGGCTTGGTGGGCGCATGCTACACTCCCAGGGGAGGGCGACAGAGGCCACGCGAGACGCCACTCACTTTGTTCAGTATCTGAAAGGCAAATGCAAAAGATAAACAAAAACTACTCAGCGATACCGCGACCTCAGCCCTGCGCTCCTCGGGCAACGGTGCACCTGGTGCTCACCTCGGGGTTGATCTCCATGGGCTTGAGCTGCATCTTCGCGAAGCGTAAAAGAAGCCACAGCCCGGGGAAGAAAAACAGCGAGCGGAGCCGCCCAGGCTGCAGCTATAAAGCGCCGGCCTGATGCACTGTGGATGCCTGCACAGGGGGAGCAGGGGCAAAACCAAGCGAGGGGGAACCGGCCAATCGCAGGGCAATGGGCACGAACACCCCCATGTGCGGCGAAGAGTGGTACGGCCGGACCCCCAAACCTTGCAGTCTCACTCGCCGGTGAGATAATCTGGTGGTTGTGGAGATGGGTTTTGTTGGTGGGTGTTCCTTGGGTGCATGGAGCAGTCTCTTTGATGGAGTCTTTATTTTTAGCGAAATTTCTGGAAACCCATGCTCTCTACCATCTCAATCACTCAAAAGCTCGGGGTCTCTGAAGCATTAAGAAAAAGCACAAATTCAACAGGTATATATTTAATATAAATGTCTCCCAAATCTCGCAGCAGTTTGCACTTAACCTTAAACATTCCATCCTCCATGTTACATTAAAGCCAGTATCGAGGTTCCTTTGTAATTGATCGCCTAGAATAAAGCAAACCTGGTGTATAACGATATTGCATTAATAATGCTGATGTAATGTGACTCCCAGGGAAGAATTGGACGGTTTGGAGGAAGTGACTGGGGATGTGACTGTGATACGAGACCGACCGAGAAGGCAGGCGGTCGGAGACTTTAGGAAGCAGATACAGGAGAAAGATACGCATGCTTTTGAGGAGAGGCTGTGATTCAGAGAGCAGAAGACTTTGAATAAGATTCTGAGCTCACACTGCTCCCAGTGAAGAAAGGCAATGGCAGCTGAAAAAGCCCTGTTAAACACTCTGTTGATCCCCGCATATTCAAAAGAGAGAAAAAGCATATGCTGAGGATAAACAAAAAGGGACCAAGTTTGTACCAATTGTGCCGAGCAAGCTACACCGCAGAATGAAATGGGGCTTGCAGAAATACTAAAGAAGCAAAACGGTTGGGTATTTTACCAGTACGCTCAGAACAAAATAAGGATGATGAACAGCCTTGCTGTTTTGGGGATCCAGGGTTAACGGATAACAGAGAGAGGGGAAGGAATGAGCATTTTTTAAAGTTACTGCCTCTTCGGTGAATCTTACTTGTGTCATCTCATTTAATGCATACAGGATCCAATGAAGACTCACTATTAGTGCAGTTTTACCAATCAGAATCTGAGGCTCAAAGAAAGTCGCAATTGAAAAACCCTGGTAAATTGGGCTTTCAGAGCCAATTCTCCACCCAAGATTCCAAAACATTCTATGTCTGGACCGCCAACCCCCAAGAAAGAATTACCTTCATACACAAAATGAGAGGGAAGAAAGCATTAGCAAGAAGAACTTAATGGATGAATTTTATGGTGTAAGAATCCTATTTCATGCAAATGAAAACAACACTGAGATTCTGCCTCACTCCAGAAAGAATGGCTGCTATCATGAAATCAACCAATAAATGCTGGCAGGGCTGTGGGGAAAGAGCAACACTGCTCCACTGCTGGTGGGAGTGTAGACTGGTGCAACCACTGTGGAAATCAGTATGGAGATACCTCAGCTAGGACTGGAAGTCCCATTTGACCCTGCTATTCCCCTGCTGGGGATCTTCCCCAAAGAATTAAAAGAATCATACCACAGTGATATATGTGCACCCATGTTCACAGCAGCACAGTTTGTAATAGCTAAAACTTGGAAACAGCCCAAATGCCCATCAACTGGAGACTGGATAAAGAAAATGTGGTTTGTTTTTTTTTTTTAATAAAATGGAGTACTACTCAGCCATAAAAAATGAGAAATTAGAGACATTTATAGCTAAATGGATCTGTATTGAGGCGATACTCTTAAGTGAAATAAATAGGACACACATGTGTAAATACCAAATAGTTTCTCTAGTGTGAGAGACTGAAAGTGTAAATAAGGACTAAAAGGTATAATAGTGTGAAATAGGAAGAAAAGGGCCAAAGGGGAAGGGGAAGTGGGAAGGGTAGGGGAAAGGAAAGAAGGGAGTGGAATATGAGAAAATGAAAAATGGAAACAAAGTCTTTGTAAATAGGGAGGGATGGAGGTGTTGAAGGGAGGGCAGGGGAATGGTAAAAAAGTAAGAACCAAGATGGATTATGTAAAGGTGCAAATTTCCAATGATGAATGTCATTATATTATATACCTAAAATTACCGATAAAATTAATTAAAATTTAAAAAAAAGAAATCTATCTCAATAAAGCTTCAAAAAAGATACAAGACAGGTGAATAGATAATATAAGAGCACCTGGTTACCTTGAATGCATCCTTTCCTGTCCACAGAAACAAAAATACATCCCCAGTTTACTTCATTTATTCATTTACTCAACAAATATTGAGTAAACATCTATTCTGCTGGGCACTGAGTTTGGAATTGGGTATGTAAAGCAAACACAATAAATAAACCAGAAACATTCCTTTTATTAGTAATAATCATGTGAAAGGGAGCAGAGATTAGGAGTGCCTAACTTAGTGGAGGGATCAGGAAGGCATCCTAAAGGGCCTAAAGGATGGGATATTTAAGCTACAATTATTGCCACAATAACTAGTAGGAACAGTCATGAAATCACTACCAAAAATCTTTATTGAAGATATGTGTATATCATATATATTCATCCACTCAATATATACAGTATATTCATTCACTATATACAAATGGACATATTCATTCACTATAAATATACATGTATGTGTATAAGTATATACATGTAAATATGTATTTTTTTTAGCCTGTTGTGTGCCAGGAAGCATTAGAACAGTGAATAAAAGAACTCCCTGCTTATAAGGAAATGTCAAGACACAAATAAATCTTATCCTTCTCTTTAAAAAAAAGTGAATGATGAGCGGAAATGTGATGTTGAAACTGTAGACCAGGAGATTTTCTATTACTCATTAGCCAAATTCTAGGAATCATAATTTGTGGCTCTTAGAAAAAATTTTGTGCCATAATTTGTGGCCTTTGGAACAGTTACGCCAGCTGGCACGTATCTTCCTTTCTTTTGAGGGTTACTAGCTGGGTGGACAAGCAGAACCCTGTTCTTGTATTCCTCATGTTGCCAGGGTTGGTGTGGGTGGCTGTTACAATTGAAGTGGTTTTCTAATTTTCTAGCTTATTTAATTAATTATCCCTTTTAAAAAGTCAAGTTTTAACGGCCGGGGATTTAGCTCAGTGACACCACACTTGCCTCACAAGCGCAAGGTCCTGAGTTTGATTCCAGGTACCGAAGGGAAAAAAAAAAGTCAAGTTTTGCTGAATGGAGTTACCACAACCTTTAGTTACCCAACAATAATTTTAACCCCGTCCTGTGCCACTTTATTAGATGACAGAGGCAAAGTTTGTGCAGGCCATAGAGAATAAATTATCTAAACGTCTGAACTATGAAATTTAGAAAAATAAGTTAAAGTGATTAAATTTAATAGAGAGTTTTGGGGGTGGTCACATAACTCTGAATATACTCAAATACTTTAAGTGGGTTAATGTATCTCAATAAAGCTGTTAAAATTTAATACAGATATGTGTAAAACTCTGATGTCAATTACAGTTAACCTTTATTTAACTCTTTTCTTTGTATAGTTACAAAAGTATGTAATATGAAAAATATCAAGTGAAAACAAATCACAACATATTAGAACTGTTTAAAATTAAATACAGTACATAAAGATCAGAAGGAAAAACACTTGAAAAATCAATTAAATGTGCATTAATGGGGTATAATACTTGGCTTTGTGAGCAACATATAAGAAAAGGATTCAAACATTTTAGAAATGTAAACAATTTGAATATAAAGCTAATACAATCTTCACCTCTACCAAGAGTGAAACATTAATTTAATTTTCGTCATAGTGAGTTCCTAGAGTGGTGCCTTGAGAAAGCTTCTGGGTCCCTGGGGGGATAGGGGGCATGGACAAAAATCTGTGATAGATTAATCATGTGTTCCATGAGCATGGAAAAGGAAAATAAAAAGTGTACCTAGAAAGTCAGAAAGTGTGGAGGCTCACCTGTGTATTCCCAGCTACATGGGAGGCTGATGCTAAAGGATGACAGGTTTGAGGTCAGCCTGGGCAACTTAGTGAGACCCTGTCTCAATCTAACAGAGGTAGGGATTTAGCTTGGTGTGAAGCGTTGGGTACGTCTCCAATACTGAAAAATTAAAAAGGGTTTTTAAAAGAAATAAAAGAGAAAAGGAAAAGGAAAATGAAGGTCAGAAAAGTTATAATTATATAAATCATGAGAACTAAAATGTTACTGCAGGCAGTCTGCACTCTGTACAATTTACATACCAAAAACTCATGCCTATAAGTCTCCAATTTGGTGCTTTGTAGTACAGTGTAATCGTCACCATGGTCTAGTTTTAGAATATTTCTGTTATTCCTTAAAGTTACGTCTTGCTCTTTTGTAGTTTATCTCCTCTCCTAACGCAACCAACTACTGATGTTTCCTAACTCCATAGATTTGCCTGTTCTGAACCATTTACAACATGTAATAATGTAATATGTAGCCTTTCATGTCTAGCTTTTAGAAAATATTTCTGAAGTTCATTTGTATTTTAGCATTATCAGAACTCAGTTCTTTTTTATGCTAGGTAGTATTCCATTGTATAGCTGCATCACATTTTGTCATCCATTCATTGGCTGATGGATGTATGCATTGCTTCTAGTATTTGGCCATTCTGTATATTACTATTATGAATGTTTCTGTATAAATCTTTATGTGGACAGAGTTTTTGTCTTCAGTCTCCAGAAGAAGAAATGTTGAGTTGAAAGGTGACTGTGTTTAATCTTTTAAGACAGTATCAGATCATTTTCTCATGTGGTTGTACTACTTTACATTCCCATTAGAAATGTACAAGAATCAGAATTTCTCTCCATTTTTGCCACTCCTGCGATTGTCAGCCTGTACAGTGTGTATGTAACGGTATCTCATTGTGATTTCATTTGTACTTTCTTGCCTATTTATGATGTTGGGCATCTTCTTATTCATCACTCAAATATTCTTTGATGAAATGTCTATTCAAATCTTATGCCTACTTTTAGTGAGTTTTTAAAAATATTATTACTGCATTATAAAGTTTCTACGTAGCTTGGATAGCAATACTTATCAGATATATGATTTTCCAACATTGTCTTCT